GCAGTTAGCGTAATGGCTATGTCGCTGGACTCCCATGTAGTCGACCGCGGTTCGAGTCCCGGACTTGGTGGCTTAAACTCACGCCGGGCACGTGTGCGTGCGTGCCCAAGATCCCGAGAGGAGAATGGAGGAGAAGGTATTGCGGCGCAGCCATCCCCCCCGGGGGGTGATTTCTCGCTTTCTATCTCTCTGTCTTTCTGTCTGTCTGGCAAGCACACACGCCCTATAGAAAAAGAAAAAAAAAAAAAAAAACATGCTTGGCACATGTGCGTGTGTGTCCAAAATTCTGAGAAGAGAATGCAGGAGGAGGGATTGTGGCATGGCCATTCCCCGGGGGGTGGTTGTTCACTTTCCCTCTCTCTGTCTCTTTCTGGTGAGTGCACGTGCCCTATGGCAAAAACAACAACAACAAAATTCAAACCTAAAGAGAAATTGAAATAGTTTTATAGCAAACACCTGTCTACACAACAGCTAGCTTCTACAATTCCCATTTTATTTTGTGTTTCATCACATGCCTGTCCTTCTATTCATGCTGTATTCATCTTAGTCCATCTTTTCTTAAATATATTTATGTTTCTAAGTGAGTTTCAGACAGCAGTACATTTCACCCTCACATATGTTAGAAAACCTAACAGGGAGCGGGGGGGAGCGTTTGCTTGTGGTTCTGGTTTTTTCTTTTTGAGGTAAAATTGCTTATAACAAGATGCACAGATCTTAAGCATACTATTTGATGAGTTTAGATGCATCACAGAGGTGTATAACACAAACCCTTATCAAGTTATGAAACATTTGGCCTAGTGCCATAGCACACCTTAGGTGCTGTGGACAGCGTGCTGGATTCCACGTGGCTTACTAGGGTTTGAGTCCTGGCTCTATAGATTTAAAAAAGATTCTGGGTGAATGCAGGTGTGTTCAGGACTCTGATGGGAAAGAGAATTAGAGGAGAAAGGATTGGGGCATGATCAGGCCCCACTGAGGAGTGATCTCTCTGTCTCTCATATTGGGTCATCAGAAAAGTCATGACCAGGACCAGCAGTTAGCATAATGGCTATGTCGCTGGACTCCCATGTAGTTGACCACAGTTCGAGTCCCGGACCTGGTGGCTTAAACTCACGCCGGGCGCACATGTGTGTACAAGCCCAAGACTGCAAAAGGCGAATGGAGAAGGGATTGCGGAGTGGCCATCTCCCCTGGGGAGTGATTTCTCGCTTTCTGTCTTTCTGTCTTTCTCTGTTTTTCTGGTGAGTGCACGCACCCTATAGCAAAAACCTCTCCCCCACAAAAAAGAAAAAAGAAGTCATGACCCATTTTTGCAGAGAAACATACAACCCAATACACGGATATACACCTTTTGGCATTAAAAAATATATATGAAACTGTACCATGAAGTTCCTCCACATTCCTTGCCATCAGTCCTCTCTCACACCAGGCAACCACTGTTTCTAATCTTTTCGACCATAAATTAGTCTTGTCTATCCTACATTTTTGTATCAGTGGGATCGTATGGTATATACCTTTGTGTCTGGCCTCTGTTTTGATGTGGGGATCTGTAAACGATTCCTTCTGTACTGAGCCACTTTTCCTTGTATCAACCTACCAGTTTATTTATCTGTTCACCTTTGGATCGACATTTAGTTTGGGCTCAGTTTTTGTTCTGTCTTCTTGATTGTCGACTTGTTCTTCAGCAGTAGTCTGATTCTTGACCTCAGTCTACCCCTAACCTGGCCGCTGTTATTAATCTGACCTCCAGTTTAACCTAGTCATTACCTTAACCCCGACCTTTGACCCAGCTTTGACCTGGATATTATTGAGCTGAGCACCAGCCTTGACTTGACTGCAACTGTAACCTGATTGTTGATCATGTTTTTTTAATTTCCAGAGGGTGCATGTCTCACCAGAGAGAGACAGAGGAAGAGAGAGGAGACAGTACTTTCCAATAGGACATAGTCATGCCATGGTCCCTTTCCCTCTATTTCTCCATCCTGTTGTTGGGGCCGTGCATGTACATACACCCAGCATGTTTTTCAAGCCACCAGGGTTGGGACTCTAACTGCTTTTGGCCATATGGGAACCAGCTCCCTTAACCACTAGGCAACAGGGCTGACCCTCACCTTTGACCTGTGTGCTGACATTGAACCTGACCATAGCCTCCCTCTTAATATGATTCTTTATTCTGAGCTCAATCCTTCTAGGGGTTCCAGTCCAGACCTACACCCAGACCTGATCCCTGACATTGACCTGAACAACACTTTATGGTGACTTCCACTTTGATCTGGCCCCCAATCTTTTTTTTTTTTTTAAGAATTATTTATTTTATTTATTATTCAATTTGACCAGAAAGAGACAAGGAGTGAGAGAGAGGGTGAGTAAGAAAGGAAGCTGCCAGGTCCAGGCCTTGAACTATGGTCAGCTATGTGTGAGTCCAGCTCCCCAACTACCATGCCACTTACTGGCCCCATGACCACCAATCTTGACCTTAACGATCTTGACCTTGACTCCAACTCCAAACCTATGATATCATTCATTATGTGGATGATAACCTTGACCTCTTCCTTAATCTATTTTATTATTATTATTTTCTTTTCTTTTTTTGAGAGGTTTTTGCTAGAGGGCGTGTGCGCTCGCCAGAAAGACAGAGAGACAGGGAGATAGAAAGCGAGAAGGGGGGATGGCCACGCTGCAATCCCTTCTCCTCCATTCTCCTCTCGGGATCTTGGGCACGCACGCACATACGCCTGATGTGACTTTAAGCCACCAGGTCTGGGACTTGAACCACAGTCCACTACGTGGGAGTCCAGTGACATAGCCATTATGCTAACTGCTGGTCCCTATTTTATTTTTTTTTTCCAGAGGGATTTTTGCTATAGGGCGTGTGTGCTCACCAAAGAGACAGAGAGAGACACGGAGACAGAAAGTGAGAAATCACTCCCCAAGGGGATAGGCATGCCACAATCCCTTCTTGGGATTTTGGACACACACACACACACGCGCCCAGTATGACTACCCCTGCCCAAGTCAACCACGTGGGAATTGAGTGATGGGACATAACCATTACACCATCTGCTGGTCCCACCTTAGTCTGTTTTATTATCTTGAGTCTGAGCCCACTCCTGACTCTGACCTTCACCTTAGTTATAACCTTCATCTTGACCACAACTCCTACCTGGCCCGTTACCTGGGCCACAACCTTGACCTCATCCCTGAGTTAGTCTCAACTTTCTTCCTTTCTTGAGTCTCATCTTTTTTTTTTATTTGTTTTATTTTGGAGAGGTTTTATTTGTTTGTTTGTTTTTTGTTTGTTTGTTTGTTTTTGCTATAGGGTGTGTGTGCTCGCCAGAAAGACAGAGAGAGACAAACAGAAAGTGAGAAATCACCCCCAGGGGGGATGGCTATGCCACAATCCCTTCTCCTCCATTCTCCTCTTGGGATTTTGGACACGCACACACACGTGCCTGGTGTGAGTTCAAACCACTGGGTCTGAGACTCAAACCGTGATTGACTACATGGGAGTGCAGTGACATAGCCATTACACCAACTGCTGGTCACGCTTGAATCTCCTCTTCTGTCTACACGCAACCTGAATTTCATCCTGCTCTTGTCAGTGGCCCACTTTTGTCCCATCCCTGCCCCATCATCTTCTCTGACCTTAGCCTTGATCTCCCCAACTTTGTCCTGCTGGCACCCTTTGCCTTCCTCATCCTCAGCCCAATCTCTGAGTTCATTCTTGACCCCACTGTTTGCTCTGTGCAGCTGTCTACTTCCTTGGGGTCATCCCTAAGATTGGGGGTGGTGAAAGAGAAGTATTGCGGGTGTGACCCTCCCTGACCTGGCCCACAGACTGGTGATGGGGTGAACGATGCACCAGCCCTGAAGAAAGCGGAGATCGGCATTGCCATGGGCTCAGGCACAGCCGTGGCCAAGTCGGCGGCAGAGATGGTGCTGTCAGATGACAACTTTGCCTCCATCGTGGCTGCGGTGGAAGAGGGCCGGGCCATCTACAGCAACATGAAGCAGTTCATCCGCTACCTCATCTCCTCCAACGTCGGCGAGGTCGTCTGGTAAGACCTGCATTCCCTCCTCCTAGCTCTCTGGACCAGCTCTCCATGTCCAAGATGGGAAAGGGCTTGTTTCCAGGTTGGGGGTGCAGAGATGGAGGGACACATGCCCTGGCTGGAACCTAAGATCCTACCTCAGGGTAGGTGGGGTACCTCATCATTCTCCAGAGGCCTTGGTGACCCATGGAGTACTCCAGCCCCCAAGGAGGTGCCCAAAGAGTCCCCAATCATCCCTCCAGCCATAGTCTTCTTCCCACTCTGAGACTCATGAGAAAGTAGCCCAGCTCTGGGCAGTAATGTATCTGTGTATGTATGTGTGTTATGTATGTACGTGTGCAGTAATGTATCTGTGTATGTATGTGTGTTATGTATGTACATGTGCAGTAATGTATCTGTGTATGTATGTGTGTTATGTATATACGTGTGCAGTAATGTATCTGTGTGTGTATGTGTGTTAGGGATGGACGTGTGCAGTAATGTATCTGTGTATGTATGTGTGTTATGTATGTACGTGTGCAGTAATGTATCTGTGTATGTATGTGTGTTATGTATATACGTGTGCAGTAATGTATCTGTGTATGTATGCGTGTTATGTATATACATGTGCAGTAATGTTATCTGTGTATGTATGTGTGTTCTGTATATACGTGTGCAGTAATGTTATCTGTGTATGTATGCGTGTTCTGTATATACGTGTGCATGTGGCATCTCTCCTGAGGGAGTGATATGTATACGTGTGTTCCTGTGTGTGCACATGTGTTTCTCTACGTATATGTGTCTTTCTGCATGTTTACATATGTTTTGTATGTAAACAGACTCTGGTGCATCTTTAGGCATGAATACAAACAGGATTTATGCTCACATGTCACTGCACATAGTTCTGTTCACATGTGAGACCTGCCTGTGGAGAGCAGTGAGCACAAGTGTGCTGGACGTTGAAAATTCTGCATCTCTGCACATCAGGGCAGGCCTGTAGGTGCTGGCTTGTGTTTGTGAATTGTGTGGCATGTGCTAGGTTTTTGCACATGTCTAATGCTTGGGCGTGCACTGTTCACATGTGTGAGTGAGTGTGAGTGTGTACACTTGGCTTCTGCTAGGCCTAAAGAGCAGATAAGTCGCAGGTCCATAGCCAGGACTTGTGGGGAGGGGACAGAGTTGACCAGGCATGAGGCCAGGCCGTGTACATACATCCCTCACTTGTGCACACACACTGGAATTAGCACAGCGAGAAGGGACCACTGCGGAGATGGTGGGCAAGCTCGCCAGCCTGGGTGTAAGCAGGAACTGGACCGTCCGTCCAGTGAGGCTGGGCCTGCTGGGGCTAGAGCCCATGACTCTGGTTCTAGCATCTTCCTCACGGCAATTCTGGGCCTGCCCGAAGCCCTGATCCCCGTGCAGCTGCTCTGGGTGAACCTGGTGACAGATGGCCTCCCGGCCACGGCCCTAGGCTTCAACCCACCAGATCTGGACATCATGGAGAAGCTGCCCCGGAACCCTCACGAAGCCCTCATCAGTGGCTGGCTCTTCTTCCGATATCTGGCTATTGGAGGTAAGCAAGGCCCCAGCCCCCAGTGGACTTTCTTAGCAAGAGCTTCCTATCAGTTAGACTTGCGAACTACAGGTGATAGGACTCAAATGGCTTATGCCAGGAGAAATTGTGTGGAGCTCATGTAACTGAAAAGACTAGAGTACACTTCAGGCAGGGCTGGATTCAGGCTTCAGGATCATCGTCATATTTTGGCTCTGCTTCAGAACCATCTTGGGCAGGTGCACTCACTCTGTAGCAGAATGACTGCTGCAGCTCCAGCCCTCATGCTTACTCCCTTACTCCACCAAATTCAGCAGAAGAGTCTTTTAATCATACCCCTTCCCCCGGCAGATGCTGATTTCCAATCAGGATCCACCACTGGCACTGAGGGAAGGTGCCTGCAAACTCCATGGCTTAGCGACAGAAGTTCTGGGGACTGTTGGGAAGGGGACATGAGTGCCAGGAAACCCGGCTTGTTCACACAGCCAGTCTCCTCTCCCTGCAGTGTATGTAGGCCTGGCCACAGTAGCTGCTGCCACCTGGTGGTTCCTGTATGACGCCGAGGGACCTCATGTGACCTTCTACCAGCTGGTAAGCAAGCGATGACGGGGGCTGTGGAGGTTAGACCCAAGGTAGAGTGTACAGCTGCAAATGTGGCAGGACTCCCAGGGCAGAGGTGGCCAGAACCCCAGGTCGGCCAATAGCTGTCCTCCTCCCTCCACCTCCCCCGCGTGCGCATTTGTGACGTCCACCCTCTAAGGAGCCAAGCTCAGGTGCCGCTGGACACCTAGGGCCGCCAGCACAGCCCCCCAGCCCAGAGAGGAAGCTGCTTCCTCTGCCCTCCATTAGTTAGAGGGAGACCAAGGAGCCTGACTGCCCCTTTGTCAGGGAACTCTCGAAACGTGGAGGGTGTCCAAGAACGAGCCCTTGAATGGTGGAGTCTTGGGCAGAGTGTCAAACTGAGGAGGGGGCTTTCCCCCATGACCAAGAGATGTTTCCCATGGACGGGATCCACTGGCCTCTCGAGGTCCCTTGGCTGGCAGGTGCCCACCACAGGGTCGGCCTAGCGCAGCATAGCTCAGAAAATAAGTGAGGGAGTCCCTCAGCCGCCATCTGGTTCTCTGGCCCTCAGACCAAGCAGCCGATTCATCTCTGCCTGAAGAACTTCCCTGTGCAGTTTCTGGTGTACGCAGAGCTGAGGGTGTGGGGTGTCCTCTGTGTGCCTGCCATCGTCCCCTGAGAGGGGGCAGCCCAGGGCACTCTCTGGCTCCCACCAGCCCTCAAGCATGTGGGGTGGTCCATTCTGGCAGTGGTGCAGTCATGGGTCCCAGGCCCTCATCCCAGAGGCCAGCACCCCTGCTCCTCCTGACCTGGGCTGAGCTCCTTCAGCTCCTGTGCATGTGGCTATGCTGCCTTCCTCCAGCCTGTTGCTGCTATTATCTTTATACAAAGGGCCCCAAATCCCCGAGGGCCCCTACACACATCCCTCACCTCTCTCTGAGCCCCAACCCCATAAATCCAGTGAATACCTTCTCCATGATGTCCCACAGGCCTACTGCAAACCATAGGTCCCAAACCATGTCTGTCACCCTCTCCCCAAACTGATCCCTCTCCTCCATCCCTTCTCAGTTCCACCGCCAGGCTGGTCCTCCAGTCTGGACACCTGCCTCCCCCGTGCCATCGCCAGTCCTGGTGGTGCTACCTTGTCACTAGCTTTTATGTCACCCCATTCGTGTGTAGCCACTTGGCCAGGTAATGCCTATTCAGAACCCACCGTGTGCCAGGCCCAGAATACTAGGGACATAGCAGTGAGCAAGCGGGCAGTCCCTGCAAAGAGCTTGCAGTCTGGTGGGGAGAGAGCCATGGAAAGGGGCCGTTGCATTTCAGGGCAGGAGGTGCTAAGGTAGAGGAGGCTGGTGGTGAGTCAGAGGTGGTCAAACGTTGTAAAACTTTCAAGTCATTGGGATTTCAGGAGGGAGGTCCAGACCCCCATGGTTCCAGCAGGAAACTGTCAAGAGGCAGCAGAGTGGTTAAGGGAAGGGGGCACAGAGGCTGGATCCCGGCTGTCTGGAGTCACACCTTCTTTGTACTGTGTGCTAGCTGTGTGACCTTGGGCAGGCTGTTTACCTTCTCTGGGCCTTAGTTTCATCTGTAAAATGGATGATCACAGTTCTTACCTCACACAGCTATCAAGAGGATTAACTGAGTTCATACTTATAAAATGTGTAAAATGTCACCTGTCTGGGCCAGCCAGTCGTGTGGTGGTTTAAAGCAGCTGGATCTCATATGACTGACTGCATGGTTTGAGTCCTGGACCCGGTGCCTTGAAAAACACATCAGCCGAGTGTGCCTGTGTGCCTGAAATCCCAAAAGGGACAGGAATGGAGGAGAAAGAATTGCATCATGACCACCCCTGGGGGGGGTCTCTCTCTCTCTCTCGTGAGCACATGTACCCTCTAGCAAATTAAAAGAAAAGGTCACCTGTCTCGTATTAAGAGCTACGGAAGTGTTAAGTTAATAAAATCCAAGGGGGCCTGGCAGGAGAAGGTGAACAGGAAATGACAGAGAGGGCAAGAGGAGCAGTGGCCTCATCAGTAGAAATGGGCTCCCATGGGGGTCCCCGATGCACCTACGGGATAGAAGTTCCAGCTCTGAGACCCGGTGAGATAAGACAGTCTGCCCCGGGTGGGTGTGCATGGCGAGAGCAGTGGCTCTGTTGAAACGTCTTGCTACGATCCTGAGGGTGTTTTCTTCCTGTGCACGTGCCCAGGGCTGTAAGCGCGCACGTGCCCAGGTTGGAGATGTGTGTGTCTGCAGCTGGGTGTACCTGATCGCAGACGCCGTTAGGATCTGGGAGGGTGGGCCTGGTGGCAGGGACACAGTGGGAGAGTATTTGATTGGGTCACTGGATGGGTAGAAGCAAGGTCAAAGTTTATGGCATTTCCTCTTCTTGACATGGAATAAAAACATGTACCTTTGCTCCTAATAATGGAACTTGGTTTTGGAGAAAATTCCCACCATTGATTTAAGAAAGATTCTTAGGCCAGTCCTGTGGCCCACAGGTTAAGGAAGCTGGATCCCACATGGCTAACCTTGAGGTTCAAGTCCAGGACTTGGCAGGTGGAGAATCATGCTGGGTGCATGTGCATGCCCCAAATCCTGACAGGATGGAGAAATGGAGGAGACGGGATGGCAGAGTGACCATGCCCTACTGGGGATGTTTTCTCTCCCTCTCTCTGTCTCTCTCTAGTGAGCACATATGCCCTCTGGGTTTTAAACAAACAAAAAGATTATCTTTGTTCTAAGTCTAGCCAAGCCATAGTCTTCTATCACTTTTTCTTCCTGCAGGAGAGAGAAGAGAAGGGTGCACACAGTCGCCCTACTCATGGTTGTGTGGTGTGGGAAAACGGGCCGTATCACTGGGCAGTAGGTCAGACAGCTGGTCACATTTAGATAGATTTCTCTTTGAGGATTATTTTCCTAGTCTGTGGCCCTAGTTTCTAAACCCTTCGCTTAAGAGATTTCTATTTTCAGATTAGACCCCTGGGGACAGATTTGTGCCGTTAGAGAACTGAGCTGCTGAATCAGGTTCTGAACACTCATCCTCATCCCCATGGTGTGGAAGAGAACGAGACAGAAGTTCTCCCGAGTATCCTCAGTTGAGCCTCTTATCGTGACAGAGTCTACGAGCAAGGCTTAGGAGCGGAAAGAAAGCTCTCCCCTGGGGCTGGAGGGCCGAAGGCCAGTTCCTTTATCAAGCCCTGACAGCTTGTTAATTACAGAGAAGCTGAGTGTTAAGGCCTTGTCTGGCTAGTCCAGGTCACGAGCGACAAGCAGATGTCATGGCAGGAATAGAGCGAGTTGGGAATGGGCTCCCGTTCATTAGCGGTGAATGGGGCATGAGTAGCTTTCGTCTTGACAGTGAAGGTGTATTCCATTCTAGCATGAGTTTGTCGGTTGCTTTTCTTTTCTTTTTAAGAATTATTTGTTTAATTCCATTTGTTATTATTATTTTTTAATTTGACCAGACAGAGACAGAGAGAAAGGGAAAGTGAGAAAGCAAGCCACCAGGTCCAAGACTCAAACTGTGGGAGTCCAGCACCTTTAACCACCACGCTACCTGCCGGCCACTGTTGGTTGCTTTTCACATGCATTTACTTATGCAGTGGTCTTGCAAGCAGATGTCATGGCAGGAATAGAGCGAGTTGGGAATGGGCTCCCGTTCATTAGCGGTGAATGGGGCATGAGTAGCTTTAGTCTTGACAGTGAAGGTGTATTCCATTCTAGCATGAGTTTGTCGGTTGCTTTTCTTTTCTTTTTAAGAATTATTTGTTTAATTCCATTTGTTATTATTATTTTTTAATTTGACCAGACAGAGACAGAGAAAGAAAGGGAAAGTGAGAAAGCAAGTCACCAGGTCCAAGACTCAAACTGTGGGAGTCCAGCACCTTTAACCACCACGCTACCTGCCGGCCACTGTTGGTTGCTTTTCACATGCATTTACTTATGCAGTGGTCTTGGTCCATTACCACCCCCATTCTTGCAGCTCAGGGACCAGGAGACCCCATACGCCCTCAGGGTGTAGCTAGACCCTCCCCCTAGCTCCAGGGCCCTGGCTTTCCTCCCAGCCTTATGCCAGCTGCTCTGCCTCGGATCTGCTGTACACCTGCCCAGAACAATTTTCCGCTCTCTGTGCACTGCTTCTCCCAGCATGGTGCAGCCTCTGGCCCTGGCTGAGCACCTCTCCAGGGGTGGGGTCTCACCCACCAGCCCTTCCCCTGACCTGTTGCCCTCCCTGACCCCACCCTGCTGTCCTCAGAGGAACTTCCTGAAATGCTCCGAAGACAACCCGCTCTTCGCCGGCATTGACTGCGAGGTCTTCGAGTCACGCTTCCCCACGACCATGGCCTTGTCTGTGCTCGTGACCATCGAAATGTGCAATGCCCTCAACAGGTGGGCTGGGCGGAGGGCCCGAGTGGGCTGAGGATCGGGTCTGAGGTCAGTGGGGTCCAAGTTGGAGTGTGAAGGATAGCGGGTCCCAGACAAGGGAGTGGGCGTCAGCGGTTCCAAGAGTGAGTGTGAGGGTCAGGGTGTGGTCCAAGAGTCCAGAATTGAGGTCCAGGGTTATGGAGGTCCAGGACAAGAGTGTGAGAACTTATGGGTCCGAGATAGGGGTGTGAGGCTCAGTTGAGGGTCCGTGATTGGAGCGTGCAGGTTGGGGGATCTGAGCCAGAGGAGTGAGGGTCAGGGGTTCTGAGAAGAGAGTGTGAGGGTCAGAGTGTGGTCCAGGGTTGGGGTATGAGGGTCAGAGGGGCCCAGAATTGGGGTCCAAGGGTTATGGGGTGCAGGACAGGAGAGTGAGGGTCAGTTGTGAGGTCCATGATTGTAGTAAAAGAGTCTGGTGGACCCATGATTGGGGTGTGAGGATTTGGGGGTCCAGGAGTGACTTAGGAGGGCCAGAGGACTCCAAGGGTTTGGTATGAAGGTTAGTGGGGCTGGAAGGCCCATGACTGGGGTGTGAGGGAAAGGGGGAGCCAGGGTTGGGGTGTGAGGGTCAGCAGGTTGTCCATGATTGAAATGTGAAGGTGGGGGGGGGACAGGATTGGGGTGTGAGGGTAAAGAGCGTCCATGACTGAGGTATGAGAGTAAGAGGGGGCAGGATTGGGGTGTGAGGATCAGGGAGGCCCTGAGGGGATTCTGAGAGTTAGAAGTGTCCATGATTAGGGACCCTAAGACGGGTCTGAAGAAACAGAGGAGCCAGGACTGGATCTGAGGGTGAGAGAAAAGGGGTGCGGCCCCAGGCCAGCCCTAGAGGACTGAGCGGCAGCAGTGACACCCAACTCCAGCCCTCCGTCCAGCTGGAGAGGTGCTGAGGTTACCCCAAGGGGCAGTGGGTGCCTGGCAAGGCCTCATGGCCTGGCACTCAGTGAGCACCCACGCCCTTGGCAGCGTCTCCGAGAACCAGTCGCTGCTGCGGATGCCGCCCTGGCTGAACCCCTGGCTGCTGGCGGCTGTGGCCGTGTCCATGGCCCTGCACTTCCTCATCCTGCTCGTGCCACCCCTGCCCGTGAGTCACCCCCGCCCACTCCCCTCCAGTTCCTAGGGCCACAGGGGCCAAGCAGTCCCAGGACACCGCAGGCCCTGGGTGGTCCCTGGGCCCCTCTGGGCACCCCCTTCAGTGCACAGTGGATGGGAGGGAGGTGAGCGTTCTGGCCAGCCACCGCCCTCCAGACCTGTCCCCTCCTCCGGCAGCTTCTTGCTAAGGGACTGTCCTAAGACTGGGGTGGGAGCAGGACCCTGCTCTGTGCCAGCAGAACCCACTTCCCAGCAGGAGGGACGAGACCTAACCTTGTGAGTGAGGGCAGGGGAGGGCACTTTGGCCAGAGGAAATGGAGTGGACAGAGATCTGAGGAGGACATGGGCATTTTAGAAGTGTTCATGTCCTCGTGGGAGTCCATTGGAGCCCACGTGGGTGAAGTGAGTAGAGGCCAGGGGGGCTGGCAGTCCTTCATTTAACAAGTCTCCCTCTGTCCCCACCAGCTCATTTTCCAGGTGACCCCTCTAAGTGGGCGCCAGTGGGTGGTGGTGCTCCAGATATCTCTGCCTGTCATCCTGCTTGACGAGGCCCTCAAGTACCTGTCCCGACATCATGTGGATGGTGAGTGAAGGAGGCCCCGAAACGCCGGCCCTGCTCCCTGTCTTCTCCAGCCCGCCTCCCACTTCCATCTGCTCCTGGGCTGCAGTGGATGCAGGGGACACGGTGGCCCCAGCTTCAGCTCCTTCTGGCAGTGGGGAAGGTGTTCTTGAGTCACGAAGTGGAGGACATGAAGGGGCTCTGGTGGCTGTGGCTCGAGGTGGCTGTGGGATGCATTGCAGGGGTCCTGGGCTCTCTGGGCCACCAATAGGAGCACTGCTCAGGGCCACACTGCCATGCTCACTGGCCACCGCCCTGCACACGGCCAGAGCACTGTGCTTCTTGCTAGGCCTTGGCCTCTGACCCCTGCACCCGGCCTGTCTTTATGCAGGCATTCTCAAGACAGTCCTGCAGGTCCGGAGTAGGCGGCTGCTGACCACCTCCCAGACCCCGGACCACACCGGGTTGGTCTCTTTGTGGGTGGGTGCAAGGCTCACCAGCTCTGGGTCTGCCTTACCCAGGAATGGAGGACAGAGTGGCAGGGTCAGGGTGGCAAGGGCAGTGTGTCAGTGAGCAGGCATGGGGTCCACCCACCTGCCTCCGCCAAGCAGGTTCAGAGAGCAGGCGATTCTGAAGCCCTCAGAGGCAAGGGAGGCACATCACGGTCACTATCTCAGCAGCTCGGGAAAGGAGGAAGCAGGGCTCAGCCTGTTCCTGGAGCTTGCACAGAGGCAGCGACCATGTGGCTGGCCTGCTATAGAGGGCCCGGGTTGAGCCAGCCAACGGCTGGGCCTGCGCTGGACATGCTGGGTCTTTGGGGGCCACCTCTGGTAGGAATATGTCCCAACCCCAGGGAAGAGGGTTGTCTATAAATAGATCAGGTGCCTGTCATTCCATAGGGACCAAGGCAATTGGCTGGCCCCGTTCTGCATGCCGGCCAGCCCTGCTGTGTGCTGCAAATATTGTATCTTTAAAACGGCCCAAATAGGAACCAGCAGTTAGCGTAATGGCTATGTCGCTGGACTCCCACGTAG